ATTCCACTGTGGTGAACCCAGATTAATAAAGAGACTAAAAAAAAAAAAAATGAATGAATGAATGAAGGTTATGTAATAATAATTGATTGATTCATTCATTCATTTTCCTTTTTTATTTTTTGCTGTAAATTCATTTTAAGAAAACTAATCATTTAAAATGTGAAAATTGCAATAATTCAAATGCCGAAAAGACGATTGAGTGATATTAAAAAACAGCAATATAAATAAATATTAAATAAATGTAGAAAGAGAGCATTTCAGGACTTGGGCTCTATGGCTGGAATTGCGTAGGGCCCCAAAATCACGAAATCTGCCCCTGGTTGTGTAATAATGCTACTCTGTGCACACTATGAAATGCATGAGATTAAGGTGTCTTTGGTGAAATTGAAGGTGCATGATGTCATTAGCATACCGGTACAGGATACATACATAAAGAATAAAGACAGCAAAATATATAAAACTATAAAATATAAAACACAAACTATATCTAACACTGTTATTATATTTAAACTTAGCACAACTAAAAAAAAAAAAACACTATTTAATATGAACAAACAATGCAGGATTAAAAGCTAGCATTTTGTTTTCTTTTGTCTTTCAATTTTATTTGACATTTATTTAAACGACTTTCTAATAGTTGTACACCAACCCTTTCACCCTTTCCCTCTCTTACAGCCGCTCTTCCATAAAATATTTTGTTTATTAAACAGTTTCTTGCTGAAATGTGGAGATTTCGCAGAAATATCAGTGTTAAATTCTTTAAAAGCACCGTGTAATTTTCAAACCCTCTAATGTCAAATTTAATAGCTTCAAATGTAGCAGTGCTTACATATATATTTATTTATATTTTAAATCTTTTACCTAGGGAGCGCACAGTGCATATGTGGACACTTACAGAATGATACTTCTGATAGAATATTTTTTAGGTTGGCGACAAAAAGGAGATTCTTATGTGGCACTTTGAAAGAAACTCCCATTTCATATAATGGTCCCTGAAATGCATATATTGGCACACACACACACTCACACATACACACTCACTCTCCAGCAGGAGCTACTCTATAAACCTCTGGCCAGGGTTCTTCAGGTGTTCTCAGCTGCAAAATTTACAAGCTCTTAATGCTGGGTCAGATGATGGAGTACGGATAAACCAATCAGGCTTCACCCAGGATGAGTAAATGGACATGCAGAACGGTCCATTATCTGTCAGGCTCGTATGATACAGCAGCCCCATATTTACGGCCTACTTAATGGGGTTTATTGTATTAGTGCGCGAGGAGGGGGAATGGCACTATCGCAGACATAGTATTCCCAGCTTTGTGCAATTACCTTATGTAAATCCCGCATGCAGGCGTCTATTTAAAATGCATTGAATTTCCCAACGCAAAACCATCAAGTCCAACCAAGCGAACTTCATTAATACCAAAGCATGGACAGATAACATTTTGAAGTACTCCTATGATTACTTTAGCCGATGGCCGTGTGCATTTGGGGGTTTATTTTAAAGGATACTCGAGATGGTATTTGGAAAGACTTGTAAAACGAAGCTTTTAAGCACAGGAGAATCTAAAGTAAGCACAAGTTTACATGGAAGTACCCTCAATATTTACACAATTGCTTTATAAAAGCCAATTAGGAAGAGGGAATGGATTTCAACATCATGTTCGTGCTGTATTACATTAAGGGCCAATTATCTTGCAAAACAGATATCTTGAATCTTGGTAATATCACATTCTATTACACTTAAAGATTAAAGTAACAGCAGACGCGTGCTTATCAGCTGCTAGAACATTCCTGTAAATGTCATTCAGGCTGCATGCATAGAGATTTACAGCTCACAAAAACAGTTTGCATTTATATGTGGCCTCATAAAAGTAGTTACCCTGTCAAATAAAACGATTTCATCTGCCCTCCCCGAACATGCAAATTATTCCAAAATGTGTAAGAGTCGAAGATGAATGAGAAAATTTGGACTCATTTCTTCTTTTTCCTTTTGATCCCTTAGCCTTATTCAGGCTGGGTTAACAATATCATGTTTTTATTTCATATCTAAGCAGCAAATGCGTGAGATGTTTTCATGTTCGTTTTTAATGAACACAATTACTCAGGCTAGTTGAGGCTCCAAAACGAAGATATGAAAATGGATCCCAGAAGAAGCAAATCTAGAGAACTCAATTATCGTTTATGAAAGTCTTCAGTCAAACACGTTCTTGGTCAGAGTTTGTCACTGATCATGAGGCAAGATGACGGAAAAATGACAGACATGCTTTGGGGGAAGAAGAAAAAAAAAAGAGTCAAGATTCAAAGTCATGAATCTTTTATGGGTCATAATGGCTTGCTCAAATTTCCTCACCACACTCCGGCCTCCACGGACACACAAGACCAGGGGCTTTCCTGGCACCTCTGCCCCACAGACACGAAGCAGCATATGGTGTGCAATTCAGACACCTCTGGGAGTGTGGTCAGAGCTATGAATTATGGATATGAGCTAATTGTTTTCTCATTTGGAAAGTCTTGCTCTTTTTAGGTTGCACAACTCATGGTTTTTAGCAGGTGCTTGATTTTGATCTCCACCCATTCTGTCATTTTCCATGACACAGATTTAAGGTGGTCCTGTTCAGAAGGTCTGGGTGGGTTATATAAAGTAATGTCATTTCTATAGTGTAACTTTTTTTTGACTATTTTCAAAACATTTTTGTAGCCGTCAGAATAGTCGGTTATTTGAATATCTGAATAAAGCAGAAAAATACACAAGCTGACACCTACCTTGTCGCCTATCCAAGTTTTAGGAACAATAAATAATACCTTGACTTCTAGTTTATTATTTGGTATAAGAAATGGCTTAGAAAAGGTATTAGAAAGGCAAAAACCTCTAGATTATGCTTATTTGACCAAATAAAATATGATCATCTGATTTTTAATTATTTAATTAGGACAGCAAGGTTTGTCTTTGTTTGTGCAGTGGAAAAAGAATGAATATTGTGTATGACTCCCATAAGCTTGTAGGACTGCATCCATACATCTCTGCAATGGTTTAAATAAACTTACTAGCTCATCTGGAATGGCAAAGAAAGCATTCTTGCAGGACTCTCAGAGTTCATCATGATTCTTTGGAATCATCTTTAATTCCTCCATCTTAGCCCAGAAATGCTCAATAATGTTACCCTCTGGTGACTGGGCTGGCCAATCCTGGAGCACCTTGACCTTCTTTGCTTTCAGGAACTTTGATGTAGAGGCTGAAGTATGAGAAGGAGCGATATCCTGCTGAAGAATCTGCCCTCTCCTGTGGTTTGTAATGTAATGGGCAGCACAGATGTCTTGATATCACAGGCTGTTGATGTTGCCATCCACTCTGCAGATCTCTTGCACACACCCATACTGAATGTAACCCCAAACCATGAATTTCAACAGATGATTCATCAGAAAAATCTACATTCTGACACTTTTCCAAATGATCAACTAGAAGTCAAGTTATTATTTGGTGCTCCTACAACTGGGATCGATGACAAGACTTTTTTCAGGTAGTGTATAGTGTCACAAAAGATGGACCGTTCTGTCAGTAGAAGAGAAACCTTGTCTCACAAAAGACAACATTTCTTTAATAGCATTAAAGAGCTGTGCCATAAAAGGCAGGAAATTGTCAATGTTATCTTATATAATATGGAAAGTTACATAAATAAGGGTGAAGCTTTGAACCATAACAAGCTAAATTTATTGTGTCAGAGAATTCATTTTTTTTTCAGTTGCTTATTTATATCCTTATTATTAAAACAAATGACAATTTTAGTTATCAAGGTTGCAGAAAGGGATAGTTCACCCAGAAATGAAAACTCTACCCTTGTGTCATTCCAAACCTCCTGAAAATGACAACATTTTAGATGAACTCTGAAAGCTCCCTCCTCCATAATAATAATGACTTCATTCAATAGTTTCTTCTCCTCAGTGTCAGTATATGGCACACATTCACAAGCATTGTGCAAAGTCATCTCAGGCCTCAGGGGTTTGGATTGACTTAAGTGTGAGTAATTAATAACTAATAGTAATACAATTGAAATCAGAATTATTAAACGCCCTTTGATTTTTTTTCTTTTTTTTTAATATTTCCCAAATTCTGTTTAACAGAGCAAGAAAATGTTCACAGTATGTTTGATATCATTATTTTATTTTGGCTAGAATAATCGCAGTTTTAAAATTTTTAAAAACATTAAGTTATTATGTTTTTAAAAAACGATTTAGCCTCTTTAGGCTATATTTTTCCAGATAGTCCTGAACAAACCATCGTTATACAATAACTTGCCTAATTACCCTAACCTGTCTAGTTAACCTAATTAACCTAGTTAAGCCTTTAAATGTCACTTTAAACTGTATAGAAGTGTCTAAAAATATCTAGTCAATTATTATTTACTGTCATCATAGCAAAGATAAAATAAATCAGTTATTAGAAATGTATTTTCAACACTATTGTATTTAGAAATGTGTTAAGAAAAAAAATCTTATATCTGTTAAACAGAAATTGGGAGGAAATAAACAGGGGGGCTAATAATTCTGAATTCAACTGTAAGTTTATTTTGGGGGTAAAGTAACACTTTAGGGTCTAGTTTAAGGTTTATTGCTGCATCTTCAAATCTTTTCGAGTGAACATACATTGGATCCATTTAACATTCAGTTGGCGAATATTGTTATGGTGTTAATCTTTAACTATTGGAATATGGCTGTTTTTAACATCAAATTGTGTTGGCTAATACTTCAGTACATCTCAATTTTTTTGCTGAAACTACTGAAGAAAAGGTTTAAAAATACAGAAAAGCACTAAACATTTGGCTGTATTCAAATCACCAGGATATACTTTTATTTTAGATCATTGTATTAAAAGGAAGGAAATGGTTGATAGTTCCCTGCGTCATTTGGTAACATCAGTTCCTGCACTATCAGGATGAATGGTGACAGATGAACAATAAAATATAAACACTAGACTAATAACTCAGGCATTATCACTTTAATATTATCCATGAGCTTTTGTCTTTTTAATTAGGATTAGACATCAATTTCAGAAACAGCAGTTAGTCTGAAAATTACATTCAAAATGTGCAGAATTCACAATGTGATGACATCACCCCTCCCTCATCCCATCCAATACTCCATTTCCTTCATCAGTACATCAACAAAATGAGATCTTCTTTTTTTTGACACACAACTTCAAGCCATCACACTTCAATATTATTGGTATCTTTTTTTTACAACAGAATTCAAGTTCATATTGAAGTAATCTGTACATATGCTTAAAAACGAGACAAAGTTGCCGTCCACCGTTGGCATCTTCAGTTAAACACCAAGTGCAGGACTATTTCCAGTACCATCCTGTCAATTTGTTATCAAGCTTCTCTCCTTCCACAGGCGGAGCAGGAAACAGGAGATGAATATTCTGTATTGATCTGAAACCGTGTAGGCCTAAATGCCGATCTAAGCATCTCACCTTTCTTTTTTCCAGTAAGCCCGGAGAGATACAAGAGCAACTGGCAGGTTTTTTTTGTCTTGCTTTTAAACTACACAACACATCGGGTTCAAATCTGCAAAACAACCTGATTCTCGGCATACTGTTACACAACTCAGCACGACACAGTCCATTTATTTCAAGGAAACAACACAGATTTGACCTCAAACACGTGAAAGCCTTGATATTTCATTAAAGGGAGGCTCATTTCGTTAGTTTTCCTATCGGATGATCCGATGTGTGAAGAAAATGTGAGTTTTCCAGTAAAGTGAAGTCCTGAAGCAAGAGACACACAACCATTCTGGTTGACATTAGCGAGGGTTGGAACATTGGTGGACACTGGGGTGAAACAACTGGGGGGAAAATCCTTCGATTTTGAAACCGTAGTCCAGCTCTAATACTGATAACTAATCATCGTTCATTTCAATCGAGCCCATTATCCATAAGTCAGTAGTCATTGTCATATAATACTGTTTCCTAATACAGTGCACTTTTAGCTTATTCCACAGGAAAAACAAATGAAGAAAAACAAAACCTCTGAGTCTGTCATAGCCTCAGATACACGAGTGAATCAATGAAATCCCAAAAATCTGTTTTACTTTGAAACATTTCACTGCAAAGCTCTCTTGAAGTCAGTTTTCATCCGAGTCGTCAATACTGGCTAAGAAAAAAAAACATTTCAGTGTCCAACTTAGGAAAATATTCCTATTTTCCCAAAAAAAGAGTGCATAATGGAGACTGACGATCATCCATAATCGTCCAAAAGTCCATCCGGCTTATTCTAAGCCAAAAATTGACAACCAAATGGCAGAAAAAGGAAATAAATGTATATCCTCAAAATGCTAAGTGCATAAAGAACCTTCCTGTGTTCACTGTAAATCCAGTCATAGGTCACAGTAAATCCACTCTTGGTCCACAGCAGTTTTTGTGCGATGGATATGAGATGTTAAACGTCTGGCATTGTGTCATAAGCAGATGTTCTTCTACCTGCCAAATATGTTCTCGTACTCCAGTAGGATGAGTTCTACTATTTGGTTCTGATAGACCATATGAACAGCCATATTTCCAGTCTCGATCTCCGGCCGCAGCAGGGTAGGGCCGAACACTATAGCCACACTCTGGGTCGTCATCCTGTTCACTTCGCCATGATCGATCACTCTGGAAAAAAAGCAAGTAAATTGGATTAAAATGTTACCATGTCGCATGAAGAAATCTTAAATGCTGAATTTGTGGTAGCATCAAATCTTCCCAACACCGGCGACTTTACATTAGGAGAGATGTTTGGGTATTGTGGTTAAATTACACAAACACAACAGATGCATTTTCCCTTGTAACAGCGAAATGTCAGACCGTAATTTTTCCGGGACGCTTTGCCGCCGTCCTCCATTTTGAGTTACAGTGGGCCGAGAGCCATTTAAATGCAAATGGAGGTAAAGGCAAATGTCATTGTGCGTGTTTGATATCGCAATTACGATTGAGACTCAACACCGGTCTTGAATTACATTTAGACTAGCACAGTTTCATACAAATGACGCACTCTATATGTCGAGTGAAAATGGAGTTTTGTTGCTGTTTATTTCCTGCTTCATTTTAAGTTGAAGAAGCCTCAGGTGCTGTAAGTATACTGAAAGAGTTGAAGATTGTCTTTAAAGGAGACAAACGCATTTGGCTGAACATGGTGTTGCTTCCAATTTTAAGATGATTATGGAAATATCTAAAGGAAAGGAAAAGCAAGGGGCAGTTTGAACACTGTTCTTGATAACTGAAAGCAAAAGTAAGGTGAAATACTGTAGACATGAACAGACCTCACTTGAGTGAACAAGACAACTCCCTAAAGAAAGCCTGAAGTGATTAAAGATTGATGGGACTCTCACCTGGCACTGAGGAAGCGGCTTTATAGCTTATGATTATTTTAGGGTTTGGAATGGATGTGATAACAGAGGTAGAGTTAACAATTTATGGTTATAAAAAGTCACTTCATAGACCTAAATCTACAAGAAAGATAAAGGAGTAGTCATTATAGTGGATTAAGAACTGGATTGCTGGAAAAATCTTTTTTTGTTTTTAGTTTTGCCTTTACAGGATTAACAGTTTGAATCTTTAAAATAACACTAAATGTTTTGGCTAATATTGTATTATTTGCAGTTGCTTTTTTTATGGTGAAAGTTGCTAAAAAGTAACTATACATTTTGGTTTCAAATTAATGCTTTTCAAAACCTATTCACAGGCTATTCTCATCATTGCTAATCCTAATTAATGTTACTTGAGTACCAAACCAAATAAAATCACATAAAAACATAATTTTTAAATAAATGTATATTTGGTAAGTGTAGAAAAAGAAAACTTTTTTTAAAAATATTAAAAGATTTTACCAACAACAAAGTTTTATTATTAATAATTTCTCTTTTTTTTTATAAAAAACATGTCTCTCTTTTTACATACATTCTAATCTGTAGACAATTTAAATGAATTTGTGTGTGAGAGTTTTTATATTACATGGCAGGAAGAAATATATACATTGAATACTAAATTCCATTACTGGTCAAAAGTCTGGGGTCAGTTTTTTTTTAAAGAAAATTATTCTGTTCATCAAGGCGATATTTGATAAATGTAAAAAAAAAATGTTTAATTGTAAAAAAAATTATTACAATTTTAAATAAATGCTTTCTTATTGTATGCAGTTTCAAATGTAATTATTAATCCAGTGATTATTGTTTTTATCACTATTACATTAACAACAACAACAACAGCAATAATAATAATTAATATTGGAGTGAGAAAGGATCATATGACTCTGAAGACTGGAGTAATGAAGCTGAAAATTCATCTTTAAACTCACTGGAATAAATGATTAAATGATAAACTATTTTTGAGCAGTTATTTTATAGTACAATAACAATTTACAATTTTACAATTTTTACTGTATTTTTGATTAAATAAATGGAGCCTTGGTGATCAGAATAAGCTTATTTTAAAAGATTTAAAAATTCTACTGACCCCAAAACTTTTGACCGGTAGTGTATTTGATCAAATAATATAAATCACAGTCTTTGTACTGGATCTGTACAATCCAATATTGGACATTTAATTGTGTGTGCTCATATCCTCTATTTTTACATTTAGATTATATTTGCCAACATCTGAACCTCATAGAAAGTCAAATTGTCGACTGTCAAATGTAATTTCAGGTCTCAAAATAATAATCTACCTTTACACTGTGCATATGAATGAAATACAATGTAATGATGTACATATAAATTCATATATATACAAATATATATATACAAGTATACAGTTGAGTTCAAAATTATTAGCCCTCCTAACAATAATATATATATATTTTTTCTTTATCAATTATTTTACAAATGATGTTTAACAGAGCAAAGAATTTTTCACAGTATTTCCTATAATATTTTTTCTAGAAAGTTCTATTTGTTATTTTTAGGCTAATAAAAAAGCTGTTTTTTTAGGTCAATATTATTAGACACCTTATGCAATATATTTTTAAAGTGTCTACAGAACAAACCATCATTATACATTATATTATTAGAGGGATTTGCCTTATTTACCCTTACTAGCCTAAATAACCTAGTTAAGCCTTCAAATTGCACTTTAAGCTGAATACTAAAATGCTGACAATATCTAGTAAAATAGTATGTGCTGTCATCATGGCAAAGATCAAGAAAATCAGTTATTAGACATTAGTTATTACAGTTTTTTTCCAACTGCTTACACACAAAATCTTGTCACACAATTTCTGAAACATCCCACTCAAAATGGAAAAAACGACACAGCAAATTTCCACAACCAGAAGCTATTTCTCATCCTTATACTCAGTTGTAAACTGCATAAAACACTTTTTACAAAACACTAAACACAACTCTCCACCTAAAACACAAAAATCTAACAGGAAGCCACTTTCTTTCCTTTTCCAAACATAACCAATCAAAATGCTACACTTATTGACATGGCACACACACTCCTCAAATGTGCAAACACTAATTTCTTAACTGATCACTAAGCAATCATTGTAGTGCAGACCTATAAATAGATCAAAAGTAACAGGACACTGGGATGTTCTGGAACAAAAAATCCACAATTTGTAGTTTTATACCTACTGCATAGTCACCTTTTCTAAATAATACATTCTTTTTGTTAGAAGTTTAGAAATTCCTTTAGAAAAGAATAGAATAATTCTTCTCAGCCTGATGCTGGCAAGTATAATGTAGTTTGTAAATCTTCTCCATGAAATGGACACTTCTCCCACAGAGACCCTCCACTGACAATTGTGTTTTTACTGTATTCTGGAGAATATACTTTTGCTTTACATATGTTTGCTTTTTACATTTGTACTTATTATGTTTATGGTTTTGTTGTATGCTACTGTATATACCAATAATGTTTGGCCTAACAGATATTTTTTGTTTCTACATGTGATTGGTGTTTACAGTGTACCTGTTCCCCCCCTCAGCCGATTATTTTCACTGTATAATATTGCATTGAACTGTAGATATAAGCTACAGTTTATGGCATATGATGTGTGTTTATGGAATTTCGAATGTAGTGTTACATTTTGAAAAATGAAAATGTAAGGCATTTTGCATTTCGTGTGCGCAGTTTTGAAAATTGTGTGTAGTTTTGAAAAAAGGTGACACGGCTTTAAAAATGTGTGTTAGCAGTTGGAAAAAAACTAAAACTATTATGTTTAGAAATGTGTTTGAAATTGGGGAAAAATAAGTGATAATATTTATTATAACTTATTATTATTTTAGATTCATATATAAGTAATAATAATTCAGCAGGGTTAATATAAATCTGACTTAAAAAATATACAAACTAAATATTGATTTAAACATGACTGTATCAATTCCAATCTAATTGTGCCTTTTTTATCCACAATGAACAAATTTCAAGCTGACAGTCGGGACACTACAAGAGCCCGAAGCGTCAGCAACACAACAGTTGCTTCTCCACATCTGCCATTTCCTATGAAACTCCTGAGGTTGATGTCACTGTCAAGAACTGTTTACACAGGCCGTTAACTAATCGAATTACATTCCCACTGCATCACAATCACAGCCAGCCGCGCCTGGATTAACAACAGCACCACGCTTTCACACTCTCCACCATACAGCCCTTCATATTCCCTCTCCGTCACAGTCTCGTGTGCAGTGGCGATGCATCAGGAGGATGTGGTGTTCAGTCTTTCTCTGTCCCTCATAATGATGTAGTTGGCCAGTCTCCAGGTCTGTCCCAGTAATGGATACAGTGAGATAACTCGATAGAGGCTTGCTGTGCAGAGCAGCAGCCACACCCTCCATATATACCTCCAACACTCACATTTACCAGAGCGGCCCACAGGGTTGCCACTTTAATATCCATTTCTCTGACTTTTCCCTCACAGTATGGAATAACATGTTGCCGTTGTGCTTATACATCAATAATATGCTAAAATAATAAGATATCAAAATAGCAAAATCTGGTAACACTTTAAAATAATGATCCATTAGTTAATGTTAGTTTATGTATTTACTAACATGAACAAACTATTAGCAATACAGTTATTATGATTTTGACTTATATTTGTTAACGTTACTTAACTCTTTTTTAATAAATAATGTTAGTTTGTCAACTCACTGTGCATTAACTAATGTTAACAAGCACAATTTTGGATTTAATAATGCATCAGTTAATGTAAAATATGATTAATAAATGCTTTACAGGACTATTCATACTAACAAACATTAACTAAAGGACCATTTTTCTAAAGTGTTACCTAAAATGTAAATATTGCATGACTTTAATATACCCACTGTGAGAACAATAATGGATCATTTACCTCAGATTTATTTTGAGTTGTTGTAAAATGCTCCTTCTCTCATATTTGATTGCTCGATAGTAGTGTTATATACAGGAATCAGAGAGTAAAATTCTATACCTTTTATAAGACTCTTTTCATACATTTTAAGACCACTTTATACCTGAACCGGTAACATTGGCGACCTTTTAAATATAATCACTAAATACTGATTGTAAGAAACAAATCCTAGACTAAAACATTATTCATATACTTTATAAACATGTTAATCCTGAAGGTGTTGCTTATAGAACAGCAGAAATAATGGTGCTACGGTTACTGCAGTAAACAATGCAGTGTGACATTAAATATAGCAGAATTTTATCAATTTTATAAACTACACAGCATCCCAAACTTTCAAACTTTAGCATTCAACTATAATTATAAAAGTGTATGATCAAACTATGCAAAATATAATACCTTGTAACAGCATTTAAGTTATTTTAAGGGCCTAAATTTCTCTAAATTGATTTTTAATTTTTGATACTTTAAGACCTTGCGGACACCCTGTTATTACTTGTATTTTGACAAACTTTGCATTTCTGTCGTCTTTTCAACATCAAATCTTTCAAGTAGCGATTTTTAAAAGCAAATTTTTTGTGTATTAATTTTTGTGTACTAAGTGTAGTATATTAAAATGTAAATAAAAAAAGAGGTCCCAACCATAACAATAGATGTGAAAATGCATGATATAAAAATATGTTATATAAAAATTGCATTCTGATAAACGGAAACTGAAATTTAAAGCAACAACATCAACAACAACAACAACAACAACAACAAAAACTGATATTCCACAGCTTGGACAAAAAATATATAAAAAGTTTACTGACTTTCAATGTCTGGAACAAACCTTTAGATATTTCATGAAACTAATCCTGGATGAAGGACGTGGGTTTATTTAAGTGACACTCCAGGCAAAAACACTTTTCCATGCGCCTGTCAAAGTTAAGTTTTTTTTTTTTAATTGTTCATTGTTTTTTTTCTTTAACCTATGTTAAATTGTTACGGAACACAATTTTCGGGTTCAAACCTCTACTCGTTTGATCTGAGAAAACTAAATGGCTATTTATAATCATGTTTAGTCATATCCAGGGTGTGAATTGCAAGTAATTAACGTTTGATCCCCCTGAAGGAGACCAAAACAAGATGTATGGCAGGGTTTACCCATTTAAATAGTGTGAAATATTTTGCTCTGATCTGTATCTTAAATGATATTAATAATTAAAATAGTAGATAATATAAATATACAATTGATCACCCCATAACAGTACATACCACATAATCGCATCAAGCTGTCTATGCGAGAAAATATTCATTCAGCAGTCTGAAACCAGCAAGAGCACCAATAGAACCCGTAAGTGTTCACAAGACAATTTTCTTGTCAAATAGGTGTGTGTATCGACATACAGCCTAAAAGAAAAATTCAGTTTGATGCATAGTTTGTATTTTAACAGACACCTGCTCACACGTGGAATATAAACAGCAAAATAATAAGTGCAATCTTTCATGGTCATCCATTTGTTGCATGAATGCAAATGTGTCACCATTGGATTTATATGTTTTATTTGTTTGATATTTTATATTTCACTGTAGTTAGTGCACCGACAAGTGCAACAGGTGTCCCGAGTTCAAATCCTAACTCGTGGACCTTTCCTGATTCCTTCCTCCTCTCTAGGGGGTCACACACCAGAAGCGCCGCTTGGTGTACACTGTGTACCGACACGCAGCGCCATGTATTTCAGAATTCTAAACATAGTTTTCTAGCAAGGTACACACACCGGCGTCGCAAGTCGGCGGCTGTCCGTGGCGCCCAGCCATGATCCGGACACTGTTCATATTTCTGCCACACCACAGAACACCATCTGAATAGTTTTATTTTAAATAACATGCAAATGTGCTTATCTGGTGTGCGACACTTTCACCTGTTATGTGCGCGCCGTGTCGCAGCGCTGAGCAGCTCATTCGGTGTGTGACACCCTTCTCTCTCTCTTTCTCTTCATTTTCTGTCAACATCTATAATGTTCTATCCTAATGAAAGCAAAATGTCAAAAATAAATCTTGAAAAATAATAATAATAAATATGTCATCTTTGACAATCACACATCTGTTTAAATCAGGTTACTGTAGGTCAGAATACATTCGATATCCATCAAAACACTGAAAACTGAAATAAGTGTTAATGAATTCATTTAATTGAATAATTTGATTCACTGATTTGGTTCAATAGTATTTTTTCTAGTATGGAGGTAAATAGTTACAGGTTCTTCAAAATATCTTCTTTAGTGTTCAACAAAAGACAAAACGTAAAGGTTTAGAACTACCTGCGGGACAGTAAATAGTGAGAACATGAACATTTTGGAATGAACTGTTCCTTCAATCACACTTTATCAATGTAATGGATATTTTAAAAGAATTTTACTCCAAATTATTTTTTTATACTGCCCTGGGACATATTTCTCCACTTCAGCTGCACTTCCATACAAAACAATTTACATTTTTAACAATATCTTTTACAAAGAGATTTCTTCATACATAATTTCTTATGATATGCTTGTGTTAATAACATACAACATTTTATTCTTCAATTTTCAGTTTGCTTTGTTTTAATTATGTAATATTTCATTTTTTAATAGTGATTAAAATTCACAAAACCAAACTTGACTTATAATATGCAAAGAAAAGAAAGACTTTTAAACCTGATTTCATCCAATGATTTTTGTGCAAAATGAATGCAAATTAGCACATATTTAATTTAATAAGGCATCATTTGCATCTTTATAACAAAAACATATATATATTTTTACCTGTTTAATTTCAATGTCCTCCCTAAAGCACAATCGATTTAATGGCATGGTGTATAATGCAGTTCAGTGACAGGAGCTGCAGTTTCTTACCTTTTTAGATGCTTGAATAACACTTTCATTGTTTCCTGATTGGGTTTTGGCAACTGTTTGATCAAGTCTTTTATGGATTGGACTCGCTGCTTGTAGTCTGAGTTTTCTGTTTTTAAGTGAAATAGAGAGGAAAAAGCATGATCAGGATGCTGTTAAATGCTGCAGATGAACTGCAAGAAAAGCTAATCCCAGGTCACACTGCTCCCTCTTGTGGTTGAAGGCTTGCTAATGTTATAAATGTAAGAAGATTAAATCAATGTACACTAAAGATATTTTATTAAAAGAAATAAAAATGTAAAAAAAAACTAAAAGAGATAAAACAATCTGTATTTTGTCATATTACTGTTTCAGAGTAAAATAATAATAACTGATAACAGCAGTAACAAGTATTGTTGTTCTTGAGCACCAAAACAACATCAGAATTATCTGATGGAAAATAATCATTCAAGATTACAAGATTAAAAAAATAACAGCTCAGAGCTGCTCAAATTTTGCAATTCATTTTAAATCATGTTACATCTCTTTGTGTATCTCTTTAAAATGTTTCAAAATAAAATCTTTACTGAAGTATAGACATGGAAGCACTTACTGATGGCTTCAACAAAGTCATTAAAGGATGCGTAAGTGAACAACGGCTCTGGAAGCTCCCGGAATAACATCTTTAGAGCACCTGTGGTGACGTGGATGTCCTCCCATTTACTGTCGTCCAGATTCACCTTTTCATCTGCAATGCATAAACACAGACTTTACACTAATTGAAAACAAAGCTGTTGACAGAGCACATCATTACTATTATTGTTGGCATTCCCCACCACTGGTTCTGTTATATTATTTTCATCTCTCTATATGTTCAATTTCTAATATTTTTGCTTCATTTCTATATATTATTTATGACCTATAACGATGTTTTCTACTGTTATGCATGTTGTATATTTTTTATGTTCTACTTTTTTAGTTCTACGCACACACACACACAGACACAGACACACAGACACAGACACACACACACAGACACAGACAGACAGACAGACAGACACACACACACACACACACACACACACGCACGCGCGCACACACACGCGCGCACACACACGCGCACGCACACACACACGCGCGCACACACACACGCACGCACACACGCACGCACGCACACACGCACGCACGCACGCACACACACACACACACACGCACACACACACACACACACACACACACACACACACACACAAACACACACACACACACTAGGGCACACACACAAGCACACACAGCTGTACCTGTACCTGTTTTTTCTGTTATTAGTTTTTCTCTATTTTCCATTTGTTTAATTTCATGTCATTTGTGTACCTTTTTGCACAATAATAATACTAATAATACATACAGTACATTTTTAAAAAGACAGAGCACAACAGACAAAGGAAACTTATATGATATACCACTAGATAAAGAATACGTTTTTTTAATAACCAATTTGACAGAACTTTTTACCCTTCAGGGTTGATGATGTGAGTTGATGCTTTTGATATTATTTGTTTAATTTCACACTATGTAATAATATTTTGAGTTTATTTAATTTTAGTTTTAACTTTAGCCATTTTCCCAGAAATGGGTTGCGGCTGGAAGGGCATCCGCTGCGTAAAAACTTGCTGGATAAGTTGGCGGTTCATTCCGCTGTGGCGACCACAAAGTAAAAAAGGGACTAAGCCGACAAGAAAATGAATGAACTTTAGCCATTTTGTAATGTACCTTATTCTTTATAAGGTATATTTTTTTTCTTTGTCAGTAGAACATCAAAGAATTTTTAGCTTTAATCTACCGCCAAACAGCATAGACCAATTTGCTTCATAAGACTTCTGTGCATCATCAGGAGCCATGGAGATCGATTCAGACTTGTTTGTATGCGTTTATTTTTAATCTCAAAGTCCTGTGACCATTGCCTTGCATTATACAAATCACCAAGGACCACAGATTCAGCTAAAAATCTCCTTTAATGTTCTACTGAAGAAGAAGAGAACAAAAAATCACCAACATTTTCAATGTCCTTGTAAATTAACTGTAAATGTTCATTTTTGGGTGAACTATCCAAGTCACTATTTGAGTAAAGCTATAAGTATTCATTTTTACTATTTAACTCACCCAAAAATAAAAATTCTGTCATCAGTTACTCATCCTTTACTTGTTTCGATCCTGTATGTGATTCTTTTTTCTGTTAAACACAAAAGGAGATATTTTAAAAAACGTTGGAAAATTGTAACCATTGTTTTTTATAAGATTTGTTTTTCCTACTATAGAAGTGAATGGTTACATGTTTTCAACTTTCTTTAAAAGATCTTGTTTTGTATTCAACATAATAAAATTTACTCATATAGGAAACACTATAGGAGTAAATAGTAAGTACATTTTGTGGTGAACTATCCCTTTAAGGCTTACATTTTTCATCTTGCATTTATATTCTCTTTTATTTTATTGTAGATATTTAATTATACTGACAGTGAACAACACTGGTGTGTGAGAGCAGTTTGCGAGACTGTCCTATTATATAAAACTGCATGAACAAAACCATAAACAAACCTTCCTTACCGTGATTGACTGCAAAGCGCAGTTTCTGTATGACAGCCAGGTTTCCACTGACTCTGTATAAGCCATCAACGTTCAAGCCTGAGAAAGAGATGCGAGAGAAATGAGAAGAGAACTGAATGTAGTTCTAGAATGACAAATCAAAGAGTGGATTAATAATGAAACACTCAGAAAAGTACCTGTGTTCTCCACATGCTCAATGCACATCTTCACAAAATTAGGCACAGACGTGCCTTCTCTCTGACACAGAGCAGTCAAGCTGCAGCCAAACACCTGATCTGAGAACAGACAGGAGGACCACTAGAGTGACTACAAACAATCTTTTTATATAAAGTGCAGATCAAAATTAGAAAACAATTCATGAAGACTTAATTTCAGAAATAATGCTTTTTTACATCGTTATAATGACATTGTAAAGCCTGATTTATTCTTCTGCATCAAGTGATCACCAAATCCCATAGTGCAGTGGTTCTCAAACTTTTTTCACCAAGTACCACCTTAGAAAAAAATAGTCTCTCCAAGTACCACCTTACGACGCTATTTTTAAACCAGTATTAAAAAATAGCGTCGTAGGCCAAATTAAGCAGCTACAGGTGTGCACAGTTTAAAAACGATACAGATTAATTCCTATTATTAAGAATATGTATTATTATCATTCATTTTAAACATTTGAAATAGTCTGAACATTAACTGTGCTTGCAGATAAAAAAAAAAGTTTTTGTTAAAATGTACTTTTAAAAGTTCATTAAAAAATGGCGCTGTTCTTAAAAAGTAAAAAGAAAACTGCTGTACTTAAATCTAAAGTATTCATTGTAGCCTATTCATCAAAAGCTGGAGATGTTGCTCGGACCTTATAAATATAGGCTATATGTCACATTCCTACACTTTCAGACAAATCTTGAAATATGTTAAATGTACATATGACAGGGTTCATACAGGCACAGCCTAATGAAAAATCAATTACAGCACCTATTTTTTTTTTCAAGACTGACATGCTATGTATTGAAGACCTGAAAAGTATTCTCAGCAACCCATAAAACATTGCATAGGAATAGATACAAATAAAAAACATTAAAAAATTATATTTATTGATCATATTATTAATAATATAATAAACCTGCACTAAATGCTTGAGAAATCTTTTTTGTACTCAAGTAAAAATACTATTACACAGCTAAAATAACACAAATTTTAGTAAATAATATTAATATTAGGTAAAAGTACAAAGTACTCTTTTAAAAAGTACTAGTTGGTTACTTTTGAAAAAAAAAATCTGATTTCCATTATGAAATCACTTTTTTACGTGGAAACCTGATTGAATGGTTTAATTGCTTAAATCCCAAAGCTACATGTATAGGAAATTGCACTAACAAAGAAAGTATGGTCGATTTTTCCTTTCATGACAATTAATCTTTTTAAATAGCACTGGTAAAACTACCAAATAATCTTTAAGGCCATAGAGACACTTTTTGCCAATTTTTTTAAACGATATTTACAAGCTTTGAAAGGTTTAATTAAAGTATATGGTAAAAATATTTAAATGTAGCCTTTTATTTACATATTTTACACTATTTTTCTTTACAATATGGCAAATTTGCTTCTTAAAAAGCTGTACATCACATGTAGATTTTATTTTACATTTAACCTAATCTAAAATAGAAACTTTAAAAAAAATACAAGTACACTGTCAGTAAAAAAAAAATAAAACAAATGACTTCATTTTACTTGAGGTATTTAAAATATGACAACATTTATCAAAGCAGTGCTTTAAGAGCCTTATTGTTAATTTTGATAACTAAACAATAAGTAACAACGGATTGCTTTGAGCTGTAATGCTTTAAGACAGATCAGAATACAGCTAAATGTGTAAATCACACAAATACCTCATCCAGAAACATTTCCAGCATAATTATTTTGTCGTAAAGAAAAAAATATATAAAAATACACCTTTGCTAAAAGTAAGTTTCACTTCACAACACAGCCAAATAAGAAGACCATTAGCATTGTCATCGATCATGTATCAATCTATTTCTTAATACTTGATTATTTTGAATACTTTTGACTAAATTTAGTCAAGGAACAAAGATAAATAATGTCTACTTTAATAGTGGAAAGATCGCGATTGTATTCAATCTGAGCACACAGGCGATCCTGAGAGGACTGCAGTTCATTTGAAAAAAAAAAGCCTATTTAAGAGCTCACATATCTGTTTTAGCGATTTGCGTACATGAATGCGCTCTCGTGTCAAAATAAAGCACTCGCCACATTTGCAGAAATGAGTTATTGCGCAATAGGCCTTTTTCACACTTCCTGGTTCCGGTAAGCGAAGCAGTGTACCACAACATCCGGTTTCAATGCGACGGAGCAAGAAAGAATGGCAGGGTCATCTCACCGCTGTGATTGCTGCGTTCCCAGCTGCTCCAACTCAAAAACGACACTCTTACTTTAATGACCACGATCTCCCGAAAGACGAAGGACAGGGAAAATCATGGATGACAATATTAAAGGGGGTTGAATGCCGTTTCAAGTTATATGCGGGAGTACACTCGTATGCTGTATGCACTTCAAAGCGGAGATTATTATGTTTCAATAAAGATTGGTGGTCTATGGTTTATTTTGATGAGTAACTATAATATAGACAAAACTCCAGTTAAGCTATCTGCCTTCCACAAACAAGTGCTCATCATGGTCATTAATCTATAAGCATGATTTATCCCTACATTGTTGTTATTTTGGAATAATAGACAGTTCATACAAATGCAAATCTCTTTTTTTAATTGATTTGACAGCAAAATTATTTGTTTAGTCAGTTATATAATAAAGATAGTATACTTTTCTTACAATGAAGTCCTTTATTACAAAATCTCAATAACCCAGCAAGTTTTCAACTGTTATTGGTTCAATTCCTGCAGAGACATGTTATTCATATATGTTATTTAGAGGTATTAATAAGACCATCCTTCTGATGCATCGTCTTTTGATATTACTAAATCTTATGTCGGCAAATTTTGTTTTACTAAATACCAAAAGTAATGATAGAGCTATTCATACTCTTTTCCAAAAAGAAATCATTACTGTACCTTATATTCAATTTTATTATATGTCTTTATTAAAGTGTGAATTGAAGAAAAGTGTGGCTGTTACCACAGAAATATCATGTTAGAAATAGAATTAAAGAAATGTCCTATAAACTCATCCATAGTTTTTATCCTGCAAACGTTTGCAAAAATTTAAAAGTGGGATTGATGTAAATTGTATTTTTGTAACGAATATAAGGAGACAGTTTTACACTTATTTTGGCATTGTACATAGTCAGCTTATGGGGTGAGTTGCAAAATGTATTAATAACGATTCTTTTGTGTTCAAAACCTCTTTCATTATGGATAAATGTACATTTGGGCTTTACTTGATTATCCTAATCTAGAGGAAAATAGTTTTATTTATTTTATTTGCTTATGTTGTTAACAAAATTGTACATTCATAAATGTAAATTTACTAATATGAAACCAGATTTTAAGGTATTGATGACTGAAATATGCTTGTATAATATCAGTATCAACTCTCTAAACAAGAAAGCCCGACCCACTTTAAAATGTGTGAACTCTACAATGTATTTCATTATTACATATGTTATATTACATTTTGTATATTTGTATTTTATTTATTATTACCCCTTGGTATGTACATTTTTGTATTGTAAAATGTTATTTGCTGTTCTTCAAATAAATAATAGAAATGAATATTATCCAGGAGTATGAGCTAACGTGTTTCCAGACTTGAGAAAACCTTACGAGGATTAAACAACCTGTAATGTATTAACCGATAGCAACTCGCCTGTACAGCTAACTTACCTCGCCATTCACTATATCTGACTCTGATTAAAAGGAAGGAGGGGGTTAGCACAGTTTACAGACGGGACTACTGACAAAACTCATCCTGCTGGATGTTAAATAGCCAGGTTAATCTAGTTTACGAATGGCTTGAATGAGCAGATTTTATGCTGTTGGCTGTGCACTTTACTGGAACCTGACGTGGCAAACGCTGTGTAAGACACGTTTTCTGCACAAACTCTGCAAATCGGTATCATCTTTTAAATGCTGTTTTATTAAGGCAGTTTTACACATTCACCGAACAACATCTTCCTGTCCAAATTATGGCAAAGTTGACCGTGAGAAAGTCATCCGCTGTCCCGAGGCTGTCATGTCTCTGCGACTCCTAGCGAACCCGGAAATATCGATACACTGCTTCGAAGGGCGCTTCCGGTGTTCAATTCCGCTGTGAAAAAGGTCTATACCTCCATTCCCGCGCCGCCATTCAGAATGTATTTAGAGGAGTGACAGGTCAGAGGCGAGTCGACTCGCTGTCGGAGAGCGAAACGTGTTTGTTGATCATCAAAAAGGCAGGAAATATGTCCGCGGTTTAATTACTCTGCTAGACATCTCGATAGTGAAAACATCCGAGAAGCATTATTCCAACAAAACATTTGTTTTTAAGTTGTTTTTTCTGTCTCTGCAACACAGAAAGCATTTGTCCCGCCCTTATGTTTCACGCAACTAGACAAGGTCGACTGTGATTGGCTACTTTTCATGTCAGTCAAATCACGCTTCAGAATCAATTCTTAAACTTCGGAAACTGATTTTCAACAGCTTATGACACAATGCTCTAAAATAAACATTCTAAGCACAGCGTTGTGATCGTACGCTTCACAAAACAGCCAATGCTGATCACATCGATGTTATATTAGGCATTAAAGGATTAAAAGTGTTAATTGTTTCTTTCATTATTCAGCGGTTCCTCCGCGTACCACTAGGAGGAAGCCCGCGTACCACTAGTGGTACGCGTACCACAGTTTGAGAACCACTGCCATAGTGTATCCCCGATGCCCATTGTGAGCATTTAATAACATCTATTCCTTGTTTTTATTTCTTATACTTGTATTCAGGGCTTGACATTAACTTTTTTAATCACCAGCCAGTGTGGCTAGTAGTTTTCCAACATTACTAGCCACTCGCCATTTTCACTAGCCAAATTTTGTTGTCAGGAAAATATATTTTAAATTTTGTGGAATGTCCACATGCCTCCTAATTCATTTTACTTTTTGTGTATGTTGTGTGTAAGCTTGCTCAGTGAACATGAGCACATGGGTCATGGTTTCATAGTTTTATATTACAATTAGTTTTTATTTCACATGACGTTTCAGAGAACATTTCTTAGCCAAAAATTTAAAATAACGTGTCAAAACAAGCTAAATACAGCTGTTTACTACACTTTTTATTTAACAAAACATTTCTTTAAAAAAAACAGTTGACACCAGTTAACTACACATAAATGGGAAGTGTATCCTGTTCAAATAATGGTTAAAGTGAAAGCAACCTGTGCCCCTTACAAAACCTCGGAATTTAGGAAAGCATAGGTTGTTCTCTAATTTTGCTGTATGTTACCTTTGATGTAACCCTTATCTCGAACTGCCTGTAAGGTTGGTCTCCGTGTGAGGAACTTCTTCAGCTTGACTCTGGTCTTCTTCTGCTCGGACGACTCCATACTGGAGTTCTTCACTACTGCACAAACACACAGGTCTGTTTCATGACTCAGCAATAACCCTGTATGCAGCTAAGATTTCTTTTACAAATGCACGTCTTCTGTACCTCTGTTCTTCTTTGAGTCTCTGGGGTCTTTCTCTTTGTCGTGTTTCTCGCTTCCAGGAGACTCGGGCATGTCCTCTTCAATAGCCTCATCGGACTCCCAAGCCTACAAAACGTGTATTAGAATTACATTGATGTTTATTGCATATTTTTGCACACTGTGTTGTGTATGTTTTACTCACATGTGTGTTGATGGTCTCAGAAAGTGCTCTGAACCAGTCATTGATAACGCTGTCGATCTCAGACTGGATCAGCAGCTCTGTGCCAACTCGTGTCTTTAGCTGCCAGGGTCAAAGTTTAAATCAGGTCAGTGGAAGCAGATTTGGTGTCCAGACAGATTCAGTTTCAATAAAACATTAAAATATACACTAACCGGCCCCTTTATTAGGTACATCTGTCCAACTGCTTGTTGATAAAGGAAATTTCTAATCAGTCAATGAGCAACTCAATGCATTTAGGCATGTAGATATGGTCAAGACAATCTGCTGCAGTTTAAATCACATCAGAATGAGGAAGAAAGATGATTTAAGTGATTTAAAACATGGTATGGATGGTTTTTCAGAACTGCCGATCTACTGGGATCTTCACACACAACCATCTCTTGAGTTTACAGAGAATGGTCTGAAAAAAAGAGAAAGTATCCAGTGAGCGGCAGTTCTGTGGGCACAAATGCCTCGTTTATGCCAGACGGCAAAGGAGAAAGGCCAATATGGTTTAAGCTGATAGAACCGAGGTAAGCAGAAGAGCATCTCTGAATGCACAATTCATCAAACCTTGAGCCAGATGGGCTACAGCCGCAGAAGACCACACCGGGTGTCACTCCTGTCAGCTCAGAACAGGAAACTGAGGCTATAATTTGCACAGGCTCACCAAAATTGAACAACAGAACATTGGAAAAACATTGCCTGGTCTGATGAGTCTCGATTTCTGCTGCGACATGGAAGAGTCTGAATTTGGCATTAACAACATGAAAGCGTTGATCCATCCCACCTCAAATTATTGGTTCAGGCTGCTGGTGGTGATGTAATGGTGTGGGGGATATTTTCTTGGTACACTTTGGACCCATTAGTACCCATTGAGCATCGTTCTCCCTTTTGTATATCCCTTTATGACCACAGTGTACTCATCTTCTGATGGCTACTTCCAGCAGAATAACAAGCCATGTCAAGTGCTAATTACCTCAGACTGGTTTCTTGTACATTACAGTGAGTTCACTGTACTCAAATGGCCTTCACAGCAGATCTTAATCCAATTGAGCACCTTTGGGATGTGGTGGAACTGGAGATTCACATCATGGATGTGCAGCCAACAAATCTGCAGTAACTGCATGGTGTTATCATGTCAATATGGACCAAAATTTCTGAGGAATATTTTAAGTACCGTGTTGAAGCTATGCCACCAAGCATTAAGGTAGTTCTAAAGGCAAAAGGGGTCCAACCCGGTACTAGTAGGGTTTACCTAATAAATAGCCGGTGAGTGTATATTACTATCATAAACATGCTGCAGTGTGTTCAGAATTTCCTTGCTAGTAATTTGACTACACTAAAAATGGGTTTTACTGCTTATTCAACCTCAAAACAAGTAAGGGGAACAACTTAATTGTTTTATGTTCAATCCTTATCAACTTGAAAAAAAGATTCAATTAACTTAATTTTGGTTGGGACAACAGGAAAACATTGTGTGGAACCCAACATTTTTTACAGTGTACTTATGAAACCTTTTTTGTATGACAAAATATTAAAAGTAAACTACTATTAACTAACAGCTGAACACTTGTATGTTATAATAATCCTTTTTGGGGTTTAAAAAAATTCCAAACAATAATCTCTTTTAAGTTTTAATAAAAAATCTAAATTGCAACATCTGATCATATAATGTACCATTTAAAGAAATAAACCAGCAGTTCTGGAAAGAAAGAAAAATTGCAAGATACAGTATAAATTTTCAACAAAACGTAAGAAATATTCTAAAATGACTCCTAACAGTGGATAAACATCTCAGTCTCGCATGGCTTAATCTTCTACATACTAGCCTGAAGACTGAACTGTAAATACAAAAAAATCTGAACTAGAACACATAAATAGTAGGTGTTTCCAACATTGTTTAAGGTTTTGATGGATTCAAAGGTTAAAACTCTCACCTCAATGACATGTTTCTTGCTGGACTTTTCTTTGGATGCCCACTCGACTGAACCTCCTCGGAGGTCCACAGTGAATTCTGGTTTGGACTGGTTCCCTCCGAACTTTAAAAACAAAGGTGAGATTAAAATCACACCACTCTCTCCATAAATTAATTACCTTCTGGAGGTTATTTAGGATTCTCTTTAGTCCAGTGCTGTTAAACATGATCGGTGGTCCCGGTCAAAAGAGCACATTCTGCTTTTTTTAAGTGTATATTAGTTCTGGGTGCCAGGGAATGAACAATAATAGGTTAGAGTGAAATATTAAATGCACAATGCACGCACTTCACTGATTTATAATTTATGGCTCAGGTTTGCAAAGAGCATTCCCGCATTCTCCTCGCTCAATGTTGTATGCGATTCAGATTTTTTTTACACATACAAATTGCGTAAAATAAATTAGTCTGAATATGCACAAATGCATGCCAGTTCCTTAGTGCATCTATTTACTGGTTATTTGACATGATAGTCATTTTAAATTCTCCCTCTCTTGCTGGAGGAATCCACTTCAAGCACAAGGCAGGAGATGATAAGTAAATAAGGCAGGAGGTATGACATGCACAGATAAAGTGGAATACAAGCTGCCCTGTTCAGCTGATTTCAAAACAGCTCTGCAACACAAAACACATTATTTAACTAGAGCTTTTTAAAAATAATAATATACCAATTCCACAGTGCATTTCATCTGAAACCATCTGATCATTTTTAGATCTTAAATGTAGGCAAAACTGTTCCAAGATCAGCGTATGCAAAGTTCAGACTACACAATATCAGATTATTATAGTAGAACTTGTTAGACATAGAGTGCTGTGGTGAAAATATCATTTTCATTGCCACATCTGAGACACACAAACATGTCCACTATGACTAGTTTTCTGACCAACAGGAGCCCAAAAAGCTCTTCTGTACGCAGCTGTCAAGCATGGTAAAATATGAGCTAAACAATGGTATTTATGCTGCTAGGTTGAAACATAAATGAAGGCAACAATTGTGGATTCATGACAGCACATTTCCTGATGTCATGATGTTTTTCCCAGGTTTGATTTACGCTCTTGTTTCTAAAAGGTCAGTCGCTAGTTCCACCTTCTCAATGACATCACGCATATCAATAAAGCCGGCAAGTGATGATTGATCGAGAAGCAACATACAAGCTTACATAGTGACTTCTTTGCAGCGACTATTATAACATACCTAAATTAAGTTATTTTACAGTAAAATATTGTGTAGTCTCAACCAGGCAATAGAGGGCACATTCATTCTGTCCCGAGAGATTGGCACATACAGAAGAGGCCCGTGCACGTCTACAGTGTGTATAGGACACTGCAGGCCGGGGCTTTATTGAACGCTTCCAGTTACTTAGCAATGAAAGGAGGAGTTCAGGAAAGGAACCGTTGTGGCAGTACGACTTTGAAGAGACAGGGGAGAGATGGAAGAAAGAAAAACAACAGAAAAGAGAATGATGATGCATGAAAAAACACTCACAGCACATACATGGGAGACATAAATGAAGGAGAGACAGACTGTATATATCAGCAAGAGAGCTTAAACTACATTTTTACATGAAATAAATGGGTCTCGTTTTCTGTATTTGGATGCACATGGTATGTAACCGCAGGCAGACTACACTCAAAAAATGACTTTTGCTGCTTGTTCAAACTACTTTTTTTAATTGAGTTGAAACGACACAATTCTTATTTTTTTGTGGGGCAACTTAATATTTTTGTGTTCAATCCACTTAAATTTTTAAAAACAATTAAGCTAACTTAATATGTGCTGGGACAACATGAAGGGATTAGGTTATCTTGTTAGTTTTTACAAATTTAAGTGGATTGAACATTAAACAATTAAGTTGTCCCAAGAAAAATCTCAAGAATTGTGTAATTTCAGCTCATTTTAAATAAGTTTGAACAAGCAGCGAAACAAGTTTTCTGAGTGCATGAGGAAACCTATCAGTATTCAAAGCATGTCAACGGAAACAACACTATCAACTGGTACTACAGGCTAACAAGGTTAAAGCATCTTTAAAGGGTACATTTCCAGATTTGCCCCACTGTAAGCTGGCATGAATACATACCCAGCTGGTGCCGCTGCCCTGACCCTTTGCAAACAGTAAAGAGGATCCCTGCAGGACCGTCCAGGTGGAGGCCCAATTCTTCCTGCAGGACATTAAAAACAACAGATGCATCTGTGTCACATGACTAAAGATCAACAGAGGGAGTGCAAAAGACAACATGCAAATAGCCACTTTATATTTTTTAGCTTGAAAAAATACATAAGATCATTGTAGTATCAACAAATATACTGTAGGAGGTCACAAGATCTTTCCAAAATAGCTTGTATTAATATTATGGTAACACTATATTTTGATGGTCCATTTGAGTATTAGTAGACTGTCTGCTTAATATCTGTTGATACTGCTCCTTCAACAGACATTCAACTGACTATAAGAAACTTTGTAAGTACATGTCAACTTGCATTAACCCTAACCCAAACCTAACAGTCTACTTATAATCTAATGACAATTGTGTACATGTAGATGCAATGTAAATTCAACAAACAGACCATTAAAATAAAGTGTAACCCATATTTTTACTATTTTATTTAACTTGATATTTTATCAAATAGCATTAGTGCATTTATTTCCCCACATCTACTATAGTGAAGCATTTTTTTACCTGACTTTCTTGCCATGTTCAGTGATCTTGGTAACATTGAGAACACCACACTTTTCTGAGGGCTGAAGAAAAAACGTTGCTCAGTAAATACAAATGAATAAGCATAATATAATAACAAAAAAGCTCAATTATTTAATAACCCTGTATATTACAGTATTATAGAGTGCATTAGTGGCCTGTCCACTTTTTCACATTTGTTCTGGAGGTATTTTTTTCTTTTAAATACCATAAAGCTTTTAAAGTCTTTAATAAAGATTTGTAAGTCATGAACCAGTGGTAATTAACAACATTTAAAATTTTAATTGAAAAAAATGTGAATGACTTAATATAAATGTGTAATTCCCACATAATAGAAATTAAGAAAAAAGACAAAACTAGAATTTTTTTTTTTGTTAATCATGTTTATAGAAACTATATATTTAAAGTTTGTTACATAGTATGCACGTACATATAAAATAATTGGGGTGGGGGTGGGGGGGAGTGGAAGTTAGTAGAGAGTCATTCATGTATTTTTAAAATACTCTTCTGTGTTTTTCTTTGCTTGTGACTTTCCTATTGTAAGTTATGTCGGACAAATTATTTTTACAAGTTGAATGGTACCATAAGTAGCAATTAAGAATAAATTCTAAACATTCTTTAACCTTTTAAAGTCAAGTGCTATTTTGGGTTCTCCAACTGGATTTTGCCTAATCAAATTCAAAAGCTTTCCAAATTCACATGCAGAGGTGTAAATGCAAAAGTTTATCATTTTAAAGATAACCCTTGAATTTCCATAAAACACTGTTTTATGAAGGCGTTTTTTTTTTCAAATCTGAAAGTGTACCTTTTAGAGTACCTGTTTTTGTGTGAATGGGTTGCTGTAATTCATTTAGTTGGTTCCTACACATGTCAGTTATTACAGGAAAAAAGAAAAATGTCTCTGTCAAAATCTATGCAAAATATATTCTATTCCAGCTGCAGAAGGGAACCACTTATGGGGGTACTGGGCCAGTCTGGACCTTTACAAAAGAAAAAATGTGGAAGTAAATGATGTCACGGACCCGGTCCTGAGTACGCAGAGTTTTTAAACCTTTGTTTCTTTATATCTGTGAGTAAGAAGTGATCTGTATTGATAATGACTTTACTAAAATGAATTAAATGTACACGTTTTGTAATTAATAACAATAGTTGTATTCTACAAAATCACTTTTTTGTGAAATGTTTAGGATTATAATAGATTATACAACAACTCAATTTACAACACCTTGAAGGTCTCAAACTTGATTCCTGGAGGGCTGCAGCTCTGCGCAGTTTTGCTCCAACCCTAATCAAACACATCTGATTCAACTAATCAAGATGTTTAAGACTGTCTAGTAGTCTTGAACACTTTGACTATTTGGATTAGCTGTGTTTGATTAGTGTTAGAGACTATTAAACGAAATAAGAAAAATCACAAATGCATATTATTATAATTTTTTAAAGAAAGGGTGAATTATAAAACAATTCCAAGGAGGACCTGTTTTTTTTTCTTCTGTGGAGTATCATGGGTAACATAATTTTACATGACAAGTTCCCCTGTTAAACATGAATACTATTTAAAAAACATAATATGATAGTTAATATGATCACTATGAACTTTATGAATATAAAGTTAATATGATCACCAAAAGCATGAAATCAATTAAAAACACTGGAGCATTTAAGACACGTCTGTCTTTATAAATTATGCTCAGAAAAAAAAAATCTGATTTTTACTTCCAGAAGCCAACTGTTGCACTCTATAATGAAAATACTAATACTTAATACTTAATAATTTTAATACGCCCACATTATAATATCATAGTTGTTTGCAGCAGCAGCAGAAGTATTTAATTTAGAAAATAGCACTGGTCATTCTCTGATGACAACATGCATTTAGAAGAGAACTGATTCTAAATATGCTGAATCATGCATGAACAGAGGGACTCAGGTTAGTGTGGATACTAACGGTAGAGGGATGTTTTGGTGAGGATGGACAGGAGTCTGATTCAGGAGAGTTGGGTTTGGCATTTACAGACTCCTGTAGGTCATAAAGCAGAAACAGTGATGTTAAATATTCAGAATAGAGAGGAGTTTACAGGAAGGAAAAGGTGTTAGATCCATTCTTAGATAAGGTTAGAATTTCCAAAGAGAAAAATGCTGGTGTGCTAGTCTAATTGTGTGAACAACAATATTTATGATGTCAGTAATAAAATTAGTAATTTGAAGAGTTAGTGTAAAAATAGCAGAAGCAAACATATGAAAAAATACAGATACACCTATGGAAAAAAATTAGGAGATCACTAAAAATCAAAGTAATGTATTTAAATCAAGCATTTTTTGTTTTGGTCTGCAAACGGATGTTTTTTTTCCAAATTAAAAATAAAAATGTAAAAAAAAAGTCATGTTTTCAGATGTGCTTATTTCAAGAAAACAAAATATGGTAGCACTTTAGAATATTGGTGTATTAGTATTATGTATTTACTAACTTTAAGTATGAATAACCTTGTTAAAGAATGTATTAATCATAGTTCAACATTTACTAATGTATTATTAAAATTTAAAGTTGTGCTTGTTAACATTAATTATTGCAAACTGAGTTAACATGAGCTAACGTAGTTTAACTTAAATAACATTAACTTTAACAAAGACAAATAAATACTGTAATAAATAGGGTTGCTCCGCTCGATCGGCCGTAGATTGGTATCGGCCGATAATCACATTTCACGACTCGATCGGTACTTGCTGATCTGGCCAATCTCACGAACCGATTACAAGTATTTATTTACGACTTTACATGCAGAGAAGGATGCATGTGCACATTCAGGATATACATCAGCAGCACTACAACACGAGAAATGTTTCCAAATTGCATTGTTACTAATATTTCTTACCATTTTTGGATCTGTTTTATCTGTTATTTTTTGTAAAGCTACTTTTGACCATTACATGTATGCAACATCCTTAATTTATTTACGTGAGTAAGGCGATATCTAATACTTAGAGGGAAAATGTGCTTTATGCAATGGCAAAGCTACATAAAGCTTGAAGCATCAGAATTGGTACTCGGTATTGGCCGATCACCATGACAAGGAGTCAGTACTCAGTGGCTGCAAAATCCTGATCGGAGCATCCCTAGTAATAGATGTATTACTAATTGTTTATTCATGTTAACAAATACGTTCATGAATCATTATTTTAAAGTGTTACCTAAAATAGTAACGTTTTAAACTTAATATTATATTATTGAAATTTTGAATAAATGTTTTTAAAATCTTAATAAAGTAAAACAAATATGAACATTTTACTCGCACTCCTAAAGTGGTCTCCTAATTCATTTCCTACATTGCTTTATGCACACAAATAAAATGCAAGACAAATCATAAAGAGCACATTTTGAGGAGGATTTCATTATACTGATTAAATTCCTTGATTGGCTTTAAAAAATCAATTTGTGAATTGAGGGAAATCAAGAGGTCTGTAATCACATCTGATTGGTTACAGGATGTGGAGTTGACTAACTTCTCTGTACACTGGCAGGCCGAAGCCTCTGGGGGGGCGGTTCACGCTGAACCATCTGTTTTTAAATGGCAGCTGGAATGAAAACCATTGTGCAACATAATATCAGGCTTGCTCCATTTAGCATCTTTAAAGAACCAATAACTGAGTTAAAACAATAGTAATAAATAGTAATAGCATTAATAATATTAAAAATACAAAACAAATGGTACAAGATTAGGGATTGTTAAGTCTCATGCTCTACTTAAGGAAACATATTTGGTCTGTGTTAATCTTCACTGGCATCTGGGTGCAGGAAAAATTAATTTTGACAGCCTCTTTATTGGCTTTTCGGCTGCATGCTGGTTTCACAGTTAAAGATATGACAAGGCCTGAGGGTTACAGGCATGGAGTTAAAAATAACAATAAAAAAGCCAGGGCAATCAACACCTAAACATGAAAGCAGTTTTGTTACTTTCAGTATGTTGGAGGGGTGATTTTATATAGAAAAGTGATTTTTATGTACATAGAAAGCCTTAACCCATGTAGATCAATTTAAAAATGTAATACATAGGTGCATAGAGGAAAAAAAAAAGTTGTTTTCTTTTCAACTTTCAATTAATTATGTCTTTACCAGCATCAGCCATGGTGGTTCTTCCTGAATCATTTTTAATAATTTAAACAATAAAATACAGTTTAATTTACATGAATCTCTGTTTTTGTTAAACACTAATGTCATACAAAATAAAATATACAATCTATAGTAATACACCCCAAAAAATAATAATAACTTAATTAAACTGGAAAGCTGTGCTCAAACAAAAAGTCAGACCTTAGAAAAGGGTGATGAAATGAGTCAAAAAAGGTCATGAGAACACACAAGGATTAAATGCAAATTTCTATTATAATGTTTCAAAAAATCATGAAACATCTAAACATTAATGATAGGAAACAATGTTCCACCGTCACATACTTAATCTGGACTTCTATTAAAAATAATAATAATAATTAAAGAACTTCATTACATTTTAAATGATTAAGATATAATTCATAAATGTGTATTAAAATATAATTACCTTCTTGTTGGCAAATAGGTAAAACCAAGTGGTCTGAAGGATAGTGGCAAAGTATAAAGATTTGAAATGCAGTGTAATCCTTAAATCGAGACTTTTGTTATGTCATCAGTGTAATCCTATTTTATATTCCCCAAACTGTTCTGTGTTTGGCTGTTTGTGTTTAACATATGTGTGTACCTTGTCACTGATGTCCAGCACATATGTGCTGTGTCTCCATTTGGTCAACACAATGGGCTCCTGCTGCTTTCTTTCCAAACTGTGACTCTTAGGAGCTTCTCCGGAGATTGGCGGAGAGAGATTATACTGAGAACATACAGGAAAGATAGAGAGAAAGTGAGATTAAAACAGACTAATCATATATAAAAAAATAATAAAAAATAAAAAATAAAAAAAACTTCCACGTGACAAATCATAGCCATGCTGGTATAGAGGAATATCACATGGACATGAGTGTATGGCAAGCTGTTTTGAAGAATTACAATTTTGACTTCAAGAATTCAATTGATGATATCAGGAATTTAATTTCCTGTTAAGCAATAAACTAAATTTTTAAACATTAAAAAGTTAAATACCAGGCAAGCCATTGTTCATTGTATTGCTTAACACAATTAAATTCTTGATATCAAGAATTGAATTTTTTATTTCAAGAAGTCAAATCCTGAGAAAGAATAAAAGTCAAAACGGTGTGTGAATTGTCAAAACATAAAAAGTTAAGCGGCCTTAAAACCTCTTTTGCGTGAGGAACCACTTCATTCCCCAACAGATTTACCCTTTTTAAAGATTTTTTTTAAAGCAATCTTTCTCACATTATAGATTTCTTAAAGTATACTCCCCATAACAATATTGGTTATGTATTGTTGAAAGTAAAATTTAATTCCTTGTTGCCTTTTTTACACCCTTGTTGCTTCACAGTTGTCTACAAAGTCTCTTAATCCCATCTAAAGTTCTAATGTACTGAAATTACTATCATTACACACACACATACCATTATAATACAGCAAATACTGATTAATTACTACTTTTATATAAAAAATAGAATTGACTGAACAGCAATATTTAATAAACAACGCCATCTATAATAAAAGCTATTATCTAAACTATAAAACAGGGCTGCACAATATTGGAAAAATCTGACATTTCAATATTTTGTTTTGCTGAAATGTGTATTGCTATATGTACAGTTGAATCAGAATTATTAACCCCCTTTTGAATTTTCCTTTTTCCTTTTTTAAATATTTCCCAAGGAAATTCACAGTATGTCTGATAATATTTTTTCTTCTGAATAAAGTCTTATTTGTTTTAATTTTTTCAAAACTATTTTAGGATCAAAACTATTAGCCCCTTTAAGCTATATAGTTTTTGATAGTCTACAGAACAAACCATTGTTATACAATAACTTGCGTGAGTTATTAAAACTATTATGTTTAGAAACGTGTGGAAAAAAATCTTCTCTCTGTTAAACAAAAATTGGGGAAAAAATAAACAAGGGGGGGCCTAATAATTCTTCAATTGTATATACTGTCACCAGATGATTTTTAATAGCTCTAGTTGGGAAGATTTTATCCATTTAGATCAACTGGGATAACTAAATATGTTTCTATGCAGTGTACCGGCATAAAATTTAATAAATGACAAGCATATATAAATAAAAAAGAGCAAAAATAAAAGTTAAATAAACAGTGCTTTAAGGTTTTCTAGGGAGCGTAAAAGTAATCAAGGACAATGAAACATAAAAAAACATGGTCATCATTGTATAAATCATTTAAAATCTTTAAATTAAATCTTTTGTGAAGATTAAATTATATCAAATCCTTAATAAACAATACAATTTTGCGATGTGACTTGCAGATACACACATTGCAATATTGAGGCTTAAACGTTATGTAGTTCACCCCTATTATAAGAGGTTAAGAGTTCAAAGTCAGCAGTGGATACATCCTAAAAATGTCATCAGAAATATTTGTAAAAATTGGCCTTCAGCCACAACTGTTTGCTCTCAAACAAACAACAGACTAATTGGTTCAAAGATTTACTGTTCAATAGACACAAAACAATGTTTATTTCATGTTTAACCACTTTTGAAACACACATCAGATCCAGCAGTAGATTCCAGAAGAAATGTCAGAGGCAAGCATCTCTGGCGGGTTTAAGTAGGCTCAATCTCATAAATCGATGAAACTAACTGACAAATAAGAGCAATTTTTATAGATAAACTGCAAATATGAAATTTAAACAACTACATGTTAGTCTTCAAAACACTTCAAAAGCAATCCATGAAACAAATTCAGTAGTATTTGTACATGTATTCTGCTATAACATTGTGTGAGGGATGCTGAAGGCGGAGTGATACAAACTGTGAAGTAGTTCCTGTGGTGATACTAGTAAAATATACCACATGGCTAAAAAAGACCCTACAGTGAATCAGATTTGAGAATCAGAATGAACTATTATATAACAGAACAAAACTGATACACAATATTGGAGCACAAAAAATATACAAAAACTTTGCTAAAGTTTCAAATACTGGCTAAATGAAACATCCTCAATGACAAAAACACAGAAGTGTAAAAAGTACCTCTCTCCTCAGCGCCCACGGCACCATGTGCGGTTAGTTGCCCTCCTCGGAACATAAGCCCACCCAACACACACACATCCCATCGTAGCACTACATGTGTGCATACAATTAGCTTGTAATGACAGTAAGTGTATGTGTGTTAAATAAGAAGAGTGTGGTCAGATAAACAGCGGCCGGCAGCAACACTCATCTTAGATAACCAGATTAAGGAATCAGAGTTACTTTTAGACTTTCCCAGTAAACCTCCTGCTGTGAAGGTTTACAGTTGAGTCAATGAACCGCACATGACCTAAAGACATGAGAAAGGCTGTTTGGGTGCACCTTTAAAACACAGTTAACTTACTTTTGGTAACTCCCATTCTGAGCGGGACCCATCAGCGCTGTAGTAATACGGCCGTCCCTGTTCGTCTACATGCTTAATCCACTGCCAAACAAGGAACAACCAAAAAGAATAAATATTAATATGAATACGATTACTGTTTGCAGTTAACAATACCAGTGTTTACATGAGGCTCGGGCACTCCAAGTTTTAAAGTAAACAAAATCCTTTATATTTTATTTGCTTTATTAGAAAAAAAAATGGTTAGATGTCAGATCCTTCAAATATGACAGGTGTTTGCAGAAATCCTATCAATATTTAGAAGTTACATTTTTACATATATAAATAAAAATAGTTCTTTATAAACATATTTTTAAAATGTTAAGGAGTATACAAACGGCCCTTTACACTGGGTTTCGTCTATTATTAGGATGCCAAAAGTGTGTTAAAAGCTCTTTACAGCACCTTTTCATTGGTGTATTCAGACACGTAGAGTGTGTGTCCGTGTTCATCTAGCTCCTCAGACCAGCCTCGAGGTGGAGAGCCATACTGACTGTCTGACTGACTGGAGTGTGTGCTCGGACAGTTCTCCTCTGACGACAAGGGCTGGAGAACACAAGGAGACAAGAAAGAGTGAAAAAAGGCAAACCATGAAATTATGTGTTTAACATTTTTCAATTGATAAAACATCTCATATATTTAGCTCCAGCTGTATAGCAGAGAACCAACAATGCTATGGTAACGATATGTGATATATTATCATGAAATCCACTACTAGTAAAATGTATTTTAACTGCAATAGAAGTAGATTTGGATTAAAATATCTCCAAAAGGTATACAGGAAAATTAACTTCTTTATTTAAAATAAAATCATATTTAAATATATTGTTTTTTCCTCAGGTATAGTAATATAAAACACATGATAATTATTAATATTTAAACTAGGAAAAGAAAAAATTTAAACAAAAAGCATTATTATTAATATTATTATTATTATTATTATTATTTTAAAAATTGTATTTGTTAAAAGTAGCTGTGAGCAAAACATCTAGAAAACATAGTTAAATAATTATAATAATATATATATATATATATAAAATACAATATCTAAAAATTTGTAATATCAAAAGTTTTCAATATTACTATTATTATTACAAGCAATTGCTTCAAATAATAAATAACAAATTATGATTGTTGTTGTTGTTATTATTATTATTTATAATGTTATTATTAAACTTAAACAGTTATATATTTGAAAAAACTATTATTATTAATATGTTTTCTAATTATTTTGATTATTATTAAATGTATGTTACAACAACAAAAATCATGGTTTGTCTCCATAAAACAAACAAAATGTCTGTATATAATGTTATTTACTTAAATAACAATACTTATTATTTAAAAGGTCTTTATATACAAAATGAGCATTAAAAACTAAACTACTATTTGAATGCATTGTCATTTAAACTGCCTATATCTCATAATGATCAATTTAATAAATTAAATACAGTTTAAAGCTGGCTTACTGCAAACGGTAACAGTTAACATTTGAACACCATCAACACTTTTTAACAAACGATTTTATTAATGTATGTCCACATTTATATTTTTACCACTAGATGGCAATTATGGACAATGGAAACAGTCACAGATAGACACAGATATCCTAAAAGAGTCTGGAAAACAGACCAAACAGTTTACTTTTCTAAACATACATCTCTAACAGTAACTTAACACAGAAACACTTAATTGAGAACACAGAAACACTGTCATTTTAAATAATATCCTGTAACAACGGTAATATGAGCTCCGTCTGAAGCTGGGTCAATGCGTGATGTAGCTTAAACATCTAAATAGCATTTTTCAAAAGCTTAAATATAGACTGAAGACCTACTTCAACTCTGGCCTACTTCAAACTTTCACATACTGTATGGCCACACTCATATAAGCAATGCAAATGTGCTGCGCTTTACAGATGAAATCAGATATATCATTTACATGGCTGATGGAGAACTGCAGAACACTGGAGGGACTGAGAATTTTAATTTTTTTAAACACAGATCATGATTTATCCATATTTCTGAATGGACAAAAACACAAAATCAATCAATAGAGGTTTTGAGGGTCTGTGTATGTTGTGAGTATTTGTTTTCTAATTTGAAATGAAAGAAGCACAAATGAGTAGACGACTGTGGAGTAAATACATAGAAAACAGAGAAAGTTTTTATATTTTCTGGAAAGTACAGTAGCATAAGAAGTTCTCATAACAAAGGTGTTAAGGTATTTACATTTTAAAAACACAACGACTGCTTCAAAACACTTCAGACACATGACTGACTGTAAATAATTCATTAAATACTGTATATCACACTCCACACTTTTTTTATTACAATCTTTTTTGCTTTTTTCTTTTTTTTGTTCAAATGGAAAAAAACAAGACGTTTTCTTAGTCACAACATACACAGACCTCTGACAAGCTTTCATTTGGTGTAATTTATTTTTTAAATCTATATTGTGAGCTAATATACTGTATCTATTAGACCCCCTTAATTTTTTTACGATTGTTTTTTGTGTGATTTTTTTGCAATAAAAATGACAGATTTTGTGGTAGTATTTCCCACAATTTTGCGATTAACAATATATACTTTATATAAAAATCTAAAAAATTATAAGCTTCTTTATTTTGGTCTCTTGTCAAGACAACATCTAAAACAGTAGGGATTTAGCCAAAGGAAGGTTGTATAACTCTAACATTCATCCACGATCTCACTTTCTCTCAGATTTCACTCACTGGAGCATCTGACATCATGTATCTCACACATAGGACATGCGTTAGGTCTTTCCCTACCATAACACACCTAAAACACAGATTGCCATAAAAACCGTCAATGGCCTGTTTGGCCACGTCCAGCGGCCATCACCCTTAAACCAATTTCCATCATTGTAAGCTGACTGCTTTTCTGTCTGTTCCATTGGTGTTTGTTAAATGTTTGTTCCCACTTTCTTTTGCAGTCTGTAGCACGTCAAACGCATGCACAAAACACCCAAATCGTGCCTCAGGATATCCAATCCAATCTTTGCATTGACTTTACATGTAAATCACTCACGCTTTATCCTCGCCTGCACAGGCTGCAAAACATTTCCCCTCACTCTCATGTAATGTTTGGATTGTGAGGGCTCAGGTGAGATGTAATTTTTCAAGAGACACTGAAATACGTACATCACATGTGCTGCGTATTTTATGTTTAAATAATGAATTTTGCAGGATAGCAAAAAATTGCGACTTTGTTGATTTTATATATTAAATTAAGATTCCCGAATAAATCATTCAGTGACAAATACATTATTATTGGTTGATGTAATTGCTACAACCTTCATTAGAAATGTCAGGTTGCTCATTAAACATCATCAATTATAAACTGTTATCCCAACAGTTTTGTCACAGTTGAAATGCCTGTACCATAGAGAGGGGTCTGAATGCAGACCTGGTGCAGTTGCCATCTTAACTGCATGCAATGCTTTTTAATGCCCACACCTAACCCCACCCCTAACCCTACCCTTCTCAATGACGTCACAAGCTCCATTGAGTGCATTTTGTCTGACGTTGCACTTTTGAGATATGCCTCAGCTTGCATAATCAAGGCTGCATCCATATACTATTGGTTAATTCGGGTTGAAAAGACTAAAGTTTCATAACCCTGTCTCACATCTTTGGTTTTCAGTTTATTTTTTAAATCAATTTATTTATTATCTTCACATAAGCTATTTACTGAATAAATTCAGTACACAAGTGAACACTATATATGTTTAACTACTCCTCCACCCTACCTTTTGCTAGACAAAACACGTAAATGAACCTTATTGCAAGGCATTGAGCTAAGATGTAACATGGAAAGGAATGAAAAAATAATAAAAACAAAATAATAATACACAAACACATAAATAAATAACAATAATTAATGATAAATCAAGCTATTAAAGGGAAAAAAATGTAACATTTACAAACTTGTATTATACTTTTTGTGTTATGTTTCTCTAGTATGGTTCTACGTGCAAAACAAATGCATTAATGTACCAACTTCTGTTTTATATATAGGGCAATATTCTCAATATGAATCATGTGCAATCTTTCAGGTGTATAATACTGTAACTGTACTGTAATCTTGTAATCTGTAACAATATATGTATTTTGTGAAAAACTGTTCATTTAAACTACAAAATTAAAATGTTGAAGCAATTTACAGATGAGGTTTCAACTTGCAAACTATGATCATTCAGAATTGGACATTTAAATTCAAACATTTATCAATTTACTGTTTGGCCACAGCAGACCAATAATGATTGTTTGTGATGTTCATTACCTCCATGTCTCCAGTGTTGGATGTGTCTCCACGACTGACCCCGTTGTCCCGTGAGCGCGGGGGTTTCCAGGTCCTCTCCTGCGTCGTGCGGTTGAAGTAAAAGTTTCTTCCGCTCGTGTCTTTGTGTGTTTCCCAGTCGCCCAACACATGCAGAGGAGAAGTGGAGGGCACAGGCGGCACAGACGACTGGCAGATCTTCAGCTCCTGCAGGTTGGTGTAAACGGGGGACTCGGGTCGACCCTGTCCGCTTAGAGACACGCTCTGTACACAAAACACAAAGGGAAATTATGTCATCTTTTGTTTCAGGTCTGCATTTATGTAGGAGTGTATATATATGTACAGATTAAGTCAAAATTATTGGCCCTTGTTTTTTTTCTTCTAATATTTCCCAGATTATGTTTAACAGAGCAAGGAATTTTACACAGCATTCCTAAATACATTTTTTTTTTCTGGAGATTGAAAATATCTATTTTTTTTCAGCTAGAATAAATGCAGCTTTCTATTTTAAAAAATCTTTTACAATCATAACCAGGGTGAGAATTACAGGGGGGTTAGGAAAGGATTGACTCCCCTAATTAACGCTTGATCCCCCTGAAAGACATCAAAACAAGATGTATGGGGGGTCAGTCCTCTAATACTGAAAAATATTTTACTCTGATCTGTATAATTAAAATAATAGATAACATAAATATACAACTGACCACCCCTATAATGGTTCAAACCATTGTGAATGCATTATCGCGCCCATGTCTATTCGAGAAACAATTCTGAAATGGGCAGATCTAGAGCCCCGATAGACATCGTGTTTACAAGACTTGGTTTTCTTGTAAATTGGTGTTTGTATGTAGATTTAGCATGAAATGAAGTCAAATTAGACACATAGTTTGTAGTTTAACTTACTGTAACATCTCAAATAGCTAATCAGTGAATACTGTAGGTCAGAATACATTAAATATCCCTCAAAAGGCTGAAACTCAAACAAGCTGAATTAAGAAACTAGATGCAACTAAAAACAAATTCATAAATGACTGAAACATGTACAGTATTGTAGTACATGTTAGTATACAAACTAACTGAAACAGTTGAACCCCGTTTAATCAATGTATAATTCACACAATGGTCATAACAATTTCTTAAGCATTCATTGTGCAAAAAAAAAAAAAAAATACAAATAACAACAACACTGACAAAAAGTCACACAATTGTTTTGGTATGGTCAATGACAAATTTTCAAAAATTCCTCCTGAAGACAACCATTTAAACATTTCCCTTTAAATATTTTCCAGCTCTGTAAAATAAAGCTAATATTTGTTTTTTTCAGCATAGAATGTTTTATAATAAGCATACACACACACATCTGTCAAACCACACAGCCAAATGAAAGAAGAGTAGCTAATAAAACTGATTTATTCTGCCAGGAAACAGAGAGACTCTATAGAGATATCCAAGCTTTACTAAGTGCCGAAAACATCTGTCAATTGTTTTATTGAGGCATTTACTGCCGACAACTGGCTGGACTCTCAAACTGTTCCTTTAAAACAACTTACTAAGAAGAAAAAATGAAGAGAATTCAATAAGAGATAAGAATGGAAATATGCCATCACAAAGCAGAAAATAAACATAAAATGTGTTATTTTTGCGCGGTGTGAGGGTTTCTCCAAAGAAAAAATATTATCAGACATACTGTGAAAATGTTCTTGCTCTGATAAACATAATTTGGGAAATATATATATTTTTTTAATTAAATAAAATTTAAAGGGGGCTAATAATTCTGACTTCAACTGTATATTATTATCATTTTTATACAAAAATAATGAGTATATATATATATTTTTTCTTTCCAATGGTACATTGAGCACTTAATTATAGTAATTTTAAAGTGTAAAACAAAACAAAAGAAGTAATTTTTAAACAGCTCTTCCTAACTATTTATAAATCACTAAATTACATTTAAAACATTTAAATCATTTGCTATAAAGCTTTAAAAATCACAAAGATGAAACTGACAAATATTAATTACAAAATCAGCCTACAGTGCACAAGAGGATGCCATCATTTAAAAGTACATTTCTATTCATACAGAGCATTAATGAATATAATATAGTATAAATTTAGCTTGGTAACAAACGATTTCCCAAATGAACACACTGCAATCACAGTAAAAGTGCGGTATAGCAGAAACATCTGGTAAGTAAAACTTATAGTAGAAAGTCAATTAAAAGTTGCCTGAACGAGTTATTTTAGAAAGTTTCTCTATACTTTACACAGTTACAAACATAACATCCTCGATGCTGAAAGCTATGTTGTTTCAGTGTAACTCATTCTGAGCTTCACCAACGTAAAAACAAACCACACAATACAAGAAAGCCGAGCGACTGAAAGAGGAAGAACAAAAATAGCAGTCAATCTCTCACCTGAGATGAACAGTAACTACAGCAGACTAAACATTAACAGAACCAACACTTCATATACCCCATCTGAAAACACAGATGAGAGCAGTAAACCCGATACAGGATAGTAATTTGCTAATAAATATGCTAAAACTGAGCGATCTGAGAGAGGGTTATTGAACATTGGGTGACACAAAAACTAAGAACCAAACCAACAAAGCGATGACCCATTGCTAACCTTGGAAAAAAGTCTGACAATTCCTGTTTTTTGGAAAGGCCCGTTGGCACAGAGCTGGAATTGGTCAGGGTATTTCGAAGAGAAGGAAAAGCCTGTTGGATAATCCATCCTGTCATGCATGAAAACAGATGGGATTTCCTGTCATACTGAAATAATAAGGTCAATCGTGGTAATAGACTCACAGCGGTTTTCAAAATTTTCCAAAATCCTGTGGGACTGTGTGATGATGGCCAAAACATTCCAAACAAAAGTGCCAACATTATTTTTATTTAATATCCTTTAGTCAGATATTTATTTATTTGAATAACGATCACAAAACTACTCTAAGATACTTGGAGATTTTATCGCTCAACTTTCCAGTAAAAGTACTTTAATAAGCTAATTATTATTTTAAATGTTTCATTACAGCATATCAAAACAGCATGGTAAGAGGAGCTTTGAGCATAAATTGAAATATGGAAACAGGAGGGAAGCACAAGAACAAGTTCATTTTGTATTAAGCACGGTTTAATACAATTTAGGATCCAACTAGATAGATCCATAGACAGATGCAATCAAACTCCGGCATCCCGGATCACGTTTTGGAGTTGTCAAATTCAATTAAGAATAATCGGATTTTGGTTCTATGGTTAATATCAGAAAAAAAATATACACTGGGCCTATTTTGGCTATTTTTGGTGTCAGTGATGACCCAGATCTATCTAACAATCAACTTACAGTGATTAGATGTATAACCCTTCAGGCACGTAGACTGATTTTACTGAATTAGAAACAAAAAGATCCTCCCCACTGCTAAACATTGATAAAAAATGTCATGCCCTGCCTGCAACATGAGAAGCTTAGACTTTCTCTTAAAATAAAACTAAGAAGTTCTGTGTATGGAATCCATTTGTTGAGTATTTTAACAAGAGAGCAGTGATTAAACCCTAGACCCTAGTAGAAACACCTCAAATCATCCCCCTAATATTTTTTCCTTCTTCCCCCTCCTCTTTTCTCTAAATATTTTTTTAGTTCTCTTATTCATAGAGTTGAAGTCAGAATTATTAGCCCCCTGTTAATTTTTCCCCTATTTCTGTTTAACGAAGAGCAGATATTTTCAACACATTTCTAATCATAATAGTTTTAATAACTCATCTCTAATAACTGATTTCATTTATTTTTGCCATGATGACAGTAAATAATATTTGACTATATTTTTCAAGACCTTCTATAAAGTTTAAAGTGACATTTAAAGGCTTAACTAGGTTAATTAGGTTAACTAGACAGGTTAGGGTAATTAGGCAAGTTATTTCATAAAACGATGGTTTGATCTGTACACTATTGAAAAAATATATAGCTTAAAGGGGTTAATAATTTTGACCCTAAACGTTTAAAAAAAAAAAAAAAACTGCTTTTATTCTAGCCGAAATAAAACAAAGACTTTTTTTCAGAAGAAAAAAATATTATCAGACATATTGTGAAAATTCCTTGCTCTGTTAAACATCATTTGGGAAATATCAAATAATAATAATAATTAATAATAATAATTCAAAGGGGAGCTAATAATTCTGACTGCAACTGTATAATGCTAACATGGTGTTACAACTTCTTGTTTAAAAGAAAAGTATACATATATAAAAGTAATAATTTGTATACCTATATAAAAAAATATAACAAAGACAATGTTAAAAGAATAAAGACTTAATGTAAGTATTTGAGATCATAATTCACACTACAACAAGTAAATATTAAATGATAACACATGTTAATTGTTGAATAACTTCAAAATTACATTACAAATGTCTCTTTAAAAATAAATATTGTCATTTTAACACATTTATTTTTTATGAACATTCAAATGAATTCCATCACAAAATTAATTTTTTTTAATTGAAATTAATTACAATTTAATATTATTATTATCGTTATCATAATCATCATCAATATAATATCATATAATGGAAAGTACAATGAAAAAAACAATCCATCACAGAATTGATTAATTTATTTTTATTTAATTTTTCCAAATTAATATTATTATTATCATAATCATCGTCAATATAATATTATATAACTGAAAATACACTGTAAAAAGGTGTTTAGTTGATTCACTTAAAAAAGTGAGAATTGTTTTAAACCATTGCCTTAAAACAACTGAGCAATTGAACTACTGTCTGGACATAATTATAAAAAATACATTAAGCAAACACAACAGTTCCAATTTACTCACTCAAGTCAACTTGTTGCTTTTAAAGCAATGGGTTTAAACTATATTAGAATTAACTGCCTTCATTTTTTAGTTGAATCAAATTAACTTTCAAACTTATAGCTAAATTAACTGAAAATATTAAGTTTACTATAAAATAGTATAATTTAGTATTGATATTTAAAATTAGTTGAAACCTGATTAACGTATTAAAATAAGTTAAAGCAACATACAAATATTTGTTGTCTTGACTTTTTTCAATCACATTTTATAAAGTGAACTTACTTTAACACCTTCCCAATCTAAATATAATATACAGTATAAAACACCTGCAAACTTTACCTTCAGATTCCTGCTGGTGTCTTCAGCCGCAGCTCTTTTTCTATTCAACTCAATAGAGATAGTGAAACTTTCCAGCTCAGGATCTGCATTTAAACCTCAACCCGTG